TGCGCCCTGGCCTGCGCCGGGGCGAGGCCGTGGTCCCCGCAGGGTGCCCCACTGCAGCGGGTGTCGCGGCGGGGTTCGCCGTGCGGCAGCTTAGGGTTTGGGATTTTTTTCCCCTTTTTCTCCCTTCTAGAAGTTTAAGAAATGGCGAAGTTTGTGACACCTGTGATCCAGGACAATCCTTCCGGCTGGGGCCCGTGCGCCGTCCCCGAGCAGTTCAGGGACATGCCCTACCAGCCCTTCAGTAAAGGAGACCGCCTCGGAAAGGTATTTTCATCGTGCCACGGCGGGTTGGGCTGCTGCTGAACGAGTCCTATGTGCTTTCTGGCATACTGCCCCTTGCACGCTGCCACTGGCCTTTGCTTCTTATTACTGTGGCTGGTCGTCTGGCATGCTTTGCAGTGCGTCCTAGCATATAGCACAGTTCTGAATAATTAGCAGGGCTGGCAAGTGAAGTTGAGAGTTTAAAAGTATTAATTCTGAAGCATACAGCAGTGTTAGCTTCTATTGCTTGAAGTCCTGCATATATAAAGTCAGAGGTGGTGGGGGAAGTGTCATGTTAATACTCACTTACTTATTTTGACTGTTTATGCTTGTCCTCAGGTGGCTGATTGGACAGGAGCCACTTATCAGGATAAAAGATATACAAGTATGTGTTGTCTGGTGGCTCTTCCTATGGTTTGTTTCCTAAATTTTTCTTCCAAGCAGCATTCCTGCTTTCATGTCTCACGCCCGCTCTGGTGGTTACCTGCGAACCTCAGCAAGAGAGGCTTCTTAAATTACAAAGTGGGCCTCGCCCCTGCAAGAGCTCTGTTGGGCTCTCACTTTACTTAGGGCTTACGCCTGATTTTTGTACTGCCTTATGATTAGGGCTTTTGGGGTAGGCATGGAGGGGAAGAGAATATGCTGGTGTAAACCAGTAGTGCTGGTTTATGCATCAGACTTAAGTGAAAGCAGTTGGAGGGAATTTTGAGGGAGGAGGCAAAGTGTCAGGGTCCTTTTTCTAGAAGCTTGGTGTCGAGATGCTTTGATTTGTTTCCAGACAAGTACTCGTCGCAGTTTGGTGGTGGAAGTCAGTATGCATATTTCCATGAGGAGGATGAAACTAGCTTCCAGCTGGTGGATACAGCACGAACGCAGAAAACAGCGTACCAGAGGAATCGTATGCGATTTGCACAGGTGGTGTGTTTTCAGAAACGGGCTCAAAGGAGAGCTTCAGCAGTGCAGAATTACTTTGCAGCTAAAGTGTTATTTTTTTACTTTCCTTCATGTCTGCAGAGGAACCTTCGGAGAGACAAGGACCGTCGGAACATGCTGCAGTTCAGCATGCAGACACTGCCAAAGAGTGCCAAGCAGAAGGAGAGGTATAGCTTGCAGATATGAGCATACCATACTTGGGTTGGAGTGTGTGAACATACTGTTGATAAATGTATGATATTAGTGTAACAGAACTCACTAGAGCAAACAGTCAGCAAAGAAGAATTTCAGGATATTTCAAGTTTGATGTTGTGCTGATGTCAGCAGAAGTTACAAGCGTGGATTTCAAACAGCTATCTAAGAATCTAGAAGAATTTTTGAATCTTATTTAGAAAGTAAGCATGGTGAGTTAAAGCAGAGCATATACTTGTCTGAAAACTGCATTACAATCTTTAGAGATTAAAATATTTAAAGAGCTGACAGAGCTTTTAATGCCTCGGACATCTTGATCAGCAGATGGCCTAGCAAATGTTTTGGCAGCTTGGTGCCTAAAAGCATTGCTTCTTTGGTGGTAATTTGGAAATGTAGGAATGGTTGTGGCATGGGAATCGAGAACTTGTCTTCATGACTTTTCTCACTTTTGCCATTTTAGAGATCGTCTGCGCCTACAGAAGAAGTTTCAGAAGCAGTTTGGAGTGAGGCAGAAATGGGACCAAAAATCACAGGTAAACAAGCAAGCTCTCTGCCCTCTGTGTTGATTCAGTTTTTCTGGCTGTGCTCACAGAGCAGCTCCTCTTGCACAAATCCTGATGTGCTCTGTCTCCATTTCTCTTACCTGTCCTACCTCTGGCTGCGCAGCAGAAGCCTCGTGACTCCTCTGTTGAAGTTCGCAGTGATTGGGAGGTGAAGGAAGAGATGGATTTCCCTCGGCTGATGAAGATGCGCTACCTGGAGGTGTCTGAGCCACAGGACATGTGAGTTCCTAAAACAGCTGTTTGCTTCCTGGACTGACCAGATTTTTGGAAAGCAGGAGGGCAAGATGTTCTCATTGAGGTACCCAAAGTGGCGGAGGGGTCCTGTGCAGTTTGTGGGTGGTGGTATCTGTGGTGAGGATGTCAAGATGGTCCTCCTCTTACCTCTACAGAGAGTGCTGTGGAGCCCTAGAATACTATGACAAAGCTTTTGACCGTATTACAACAAGAAATGAGAAACTACTGAGGAGCATTAAGCGCATCTTCCATACCGTCACTACTACTGATGACCCAGTTATCCGAAAGGTACATTTACTGGTTTGTAGAACTCAGTAGTGTGTTTCTCAGTGCATGCTGTTAGAAACCATCTGTCACTGTCAGACCAAAGTTAAGGGCATAAACATTCCAGATCCCATCTTGCAAAAGGAAAGAAACATTAGCTGGTATTCCTAGGTCCAAGGCAGAGCTAGATTAATGCAAAACTACTAGCCAAGGAAAAGCTGTCATTCTGGAAAGGCAAACAGACTGGTACTTGAACTATGTTGGGAAAGAAACTTCAGTGTCAGAGACCTGGTTCTTAAGGCTTCTGCTTTTGGAGATGAGGAAGACTTGGAGATTTCTCTCTGTGACCTGATCAGCAATAAGGAACCATGTCTTTTTCCCAACACAATTAACATTTTGTAATAGGTTGCTTACTTCTTCCTTGTTTGGATGAGGGTGGGACTGGATTGCTGGGTAGTACCTCACACTTTGTCTAGAATTGATGGTGCACCTACCAGTCTAGCTTCCTCAGCATGGGAGAAGAAATTAATGATCTGGTTTGCTAACGCTGCTCATCCTGGCTGAAGAAGTGGTCACTGTTTTTACTGCTGAAACACAGTTTTCTCATCCTGTATCCATAGCTGGCCAAGACCCAAGGGAATGTGTTTGCCACAGATGCCATCCTGGCCACACTGATGAGCTGCACTCGCTCTGTCTATTCCTGGGACATCATTGTCCAGAGAGTTGGATCCAAGCTTTTCTTTGACAAGAGGGACAATTCAGATTTTGGTGAGGAAAAGTCCTGAAAGAAATTTCTGTCACAGTAGCTAAAGGGCCTAATTTTCTTTAGGCGTTTTTGAGTTTATTCTGTGTCTCAGTGTCCAAACTGAGACCCCTGGAACAACCTGATTACTGCAGTATGCTTGCTAGTTGTGGGGGTTACTTCACTATTGGTCTGCTCCAGTGTGGGGCTAGAGACTCACTGAAGCTGATGTACTCTCCCAAGTATAACCACTTGTGTCTGGTTTTCTTCACAGACCTCCTGACAGTGAGTGAAACAGCCAATGAACCACCACAGGAAGAGGGCAACTCTTTTAATTCTCCACGCAACCTTGCCATGGAAGCCACCTACATCAATCATAACTTCTCACAGCAGTGTCTGAGGATGGTACGGTTGAGCAGTGCTGTGTAGTAGGGTCTGTGTTTCAGAGAGTCTCAAGAAGAGAGTTCATCAAGGCTGCTTTAATACAGCACAGAAGCATTTTGATTGACAGAGCCATGTTATGTTGATGTTCTTTCAGTTTTGAAAGAGGTGGGATTACCTCTGGTGAGCAGTGTGACTTTCTTGTAGAAAGATTTTCATCTTTATTCCACAATAAAGAAATCTCAGTCCCATTGGTGAAGCAGGCAGGCTTTTGAGTACACTTAGTGAAGCTGAAGTGTCAGTAGAAGTACTGTTTACAGCAAAGTGACTAATGTGAAGATGAGGCTTCTTATCTGTCTTAATATTTTACTGTTTGTAAGGAAAATTAGTTACTGTTGCTGTAAGAGAATATTATGCAGTGGGTGAAAGCTCACTCAGGTTTTTTTCCTAATGTGCACTTTTGTTTTCTTCTGCAGGGAAAGGAGAAATACAAGTTTCCCAACCCAAACCCCTTTGTGGAGGATGACATGGATAAAAACGAAGTAGCCTCTGTTGCATACAGGTATGTTGATCTCTTTCTGTCCAAGTTTGGCAAGAGTGCAGAATGTCAGCATGATACAGAGGCAAAACAAGTTACAAGTGTTATTGATAGAAGCTTTACCATGAGTGGGATTCTTGAACATCCTCACAGTGAACAGATAGTGGATAAAGGATTTTGCTAAATGATTGCATGGATCTGGAAGAGAACAGGGCTCATAAATAACTAGCTGGATGGTTTATTGGCAGATACCGAAGATGGAAGCTGGGAGATGATATAGATCTCATTGTCCGCTGTGAACATGATGGAGTGATGACAGGAGCTAATGGAGAAGTGTCATTCATCAACATCAAAACACTGAATGAGTGGGATTCCAGGGTGAGGAAGAACGGGATCCCAAAGCTAGCTTTAACTGTTTCACTGCTGCCTGACATGCCAGTTACAGCAGGCAAGATGAGACAAATATCTGGCAGTGTCCCCCAGGTGGCTACGTTCCACCAAAAGAGTATAACTTCAGTGGACAAGCAGTGCTGATGGGATTCTCCCTGAGATGCGAGGTAGCTGGTTTGAACCCCCTTGTCCCCAGGTGTTTGGCACAATAGCCAGTCTGTCCCCATGCTTCCCTCATGAACTCTCTGCCCTCACATACTTCAGTGCCACAGATGTCAGCCAGTTCCTGCTGTTTGCATTTCTCCCTTTCCAGTGCAAGGGCTTTCCCTGTAGGTTGCTCTCCGCACTCCCTCATATGGTCTCATAAGGTGGATAGAAGAAATTTCCCTACGTGATGTCAAGATGGCTGAAGAGATGACTGCTGCTGGCTTGTTAGGTTGACCCTAGTTTTGATTCTCCTTTCAGTATTGCAATGGAGTAGACTGGCGCCAGAAGCTTGACTCTCAGAGAGGAGCTGTGATTGCCACAGAGCTGAAAAACAATAGCTACAAATTAGCCCGCTGGACGTGTTGCGCGCTATTGGCTGGATCAGAGTATCTTAAACTCGGGTAGGATGGAGTTTTCACACCAAGCACTTTCCAGGTGTGCGTTTTCCATGATTTAACCCAGTATATGTCAAAGTGAACCATTTGTAGAATGAGTAATCATAAAACCACACCACATTTTGAGTGGCCAAGGGGAGAAGGCTTGCAGTGAGCACACCAGCTTTGGTGTAATCTGCTTCCCATCAGCATCAGGCTGATGTGCCCCGTGCTGTGACCTTGTGAGACCTCACACACATGATGGACAGGCGACCTCTTGCAGCGCTCAGCCTGTTTGCCAAGACTGCCAACGAGAAATAAATGCATTAACTGTGCTACCTGTCAGAAATGTGATTGCGATCCTTAGTGCCCTGTTACTGAAAAACTGGGTGGAGAGGAGCCCTTTTTAAACTGTTGGCTCAAAATCAGTTGAGTCCATGCCATGGATAATGAACAAGAGGCGTTTTTTAACTTTGGTTCTGGTGGTTTTGCAATCCCAGGTTTCATCCTTGGATATGGGACCGATGCATTTGCATCTGTTTAATTCCAGACTCCAGGCTAATCATGCTATTGTTTCATTTTAATCTATGTGACTAATTCTTCTGTATCTTATACCATCCCATCTGATTTGGGGTGGTAGAAGGATTCCAGGTACATTCCTGGCTACAAGCTGTCATCAGTAGACTTTCTTAGCTTTCAGCCCAGAAAACACAACTAAGATGATCATGGTGCTTTTCTTGATGTTGTTCTTCTGCTGGCTGGTCTCAATCTCCTGATACTCCTCTGCTGCCTCTCTTGTATAGACCACAGCCAGGGCTGGCTGGATTTTGCTTCTGTGGGAGACACTCTGAGAGCTCCTCATACGAGGAAACCCAGATACTTAGCTATTAAATTAACACTGGGCATTTAACAGCATCGTTGAAATGGTTTAAGCACCTAGAAGCAGTAATTAGTAATAATGGTTTAGTGAGGGAAGAAATTAAGACCTAGGTATGGAGCCCAGTACTTTTCTCTGCAGATAATTTTTAGTGCCAGATGACAACAGAGAGAGGCCAA